TGATGCCATAGGTACATTTGTATATCTAAGATGAACTGGGTGTTGTGAATGTGTGTATTTGTGTATGTCTGTGTCTATGTGTGCTGGGAATGGGGATGGGAAATGGAAAAATATATGGAAGTATTCCTAGAGAATCTTTTTCCTAAACATAATTTTGAAAAATCTGTGGTTACGAGCCACACCAAGAAGGGATAAAAGTCATACCAATACTCTGTAGCTTCCCTTATGTTAAGATAGTCTCTGATTTAGGTATCACTCTGAACCTTGAGACAAGTGCTTAGTTTTAGGCTCTATGTCTTCTTTCATCAAAACTAAGAAATATTGTTTGCTTTCCATTTGATTTTGCCTGAGATCTAGGCATTACTGAGGCAATTGAATTAAAATGTCTGCTGTGGGCAGAGTGAAAACTGGTGGAGAGAGTACTGAGTCTAAAGACCATGACTGAACCAGAACCTGGGGATACAGGAACCAATGAGGTAGCATCTTCCACTAATGAATGGTGATTCCAAAAGAACCAATATTTAAATAACTGGTCCTTTATATGGTTATACCAGATGTTTTGATAATATGCTCTATTTATTTATCTTTACAAGCAATTCTATATTAGTTCATTGCAAGTAGTTATAGATTCATTAAACCAACATGTTCTGTGAATCTATAATGTTCCAGGGACCATATTAGGCACTGGAGCTAAAATGCAATTAAAGTTTGGTCCCTTCCCACTGGGACTTTTTTTTTTTTCGGAGGGGGGACCGGGAGCTTGGTCTTCAGTCTGTATGCCCAGTACCCAGCAAATGCTTAACAAATGAAGTTGATTGAATATTTAAGAATAATAGCTCAATGAAAATAATGCTACCTCTATGTCTGGGAATGCCTCTGAGTAGTGGATGGTGCTGGGGAGAAAATAGTGAGCTTTAAAAATGCAGTGTGTCCTGCTTATGAAGTATTGAATAAGGCTTGGAAGGCGGTCTGTGGATGGATAAGGGAGGGTGGAATTCATCTTTAGTCATAAATAATCATCAAGCAGAGATGTAATTGTTCATACTAAAGTTTTATTTATTTGTTTATTAAATGAGTTTAGTTTCTTCTACGTAAGAGTAGGCACTTCTATAGGCAGTAGGCACTATGTTAGACGTTAAAAGTATCTATAAAAAGCTATGCCTAACCTTATGTCTTCCCTCTAAGATAAAGTTTGTATCTAGAAATTCAAATGTTTGCAGTTTATCTTACAGATATTGGCAGGAGCAAAAGCAATATATACATATATATATAGAAACATTCATGAAATAATTGTTTGTGATTACATAAACTGGAGCCGAGTTTAATGTTCATCATTAGGAGGATAGTTAACTAAATTTTGGTTTACCTGCAGTATGGAATATGCTGCATTCAAAAGTGAGATATAGGTATAGCTATATATACAGGTATAATGTCTCCTAGATACAGTAATTGTGTGGAAAATGAAGTCACTGCATCATTTAAAAGTGTACATACTCACTAATACACACACACAAAGTTAATACAGAGACATCTGAAAAGATCTACCAATTTGTGATATGCGGTTACCAATGGGAAGAATATTGGGCTTGAGGGTGGTTAGAGGGAAACATTTAGTATTTATTACCATACATTTTTAGGGTATTTGAATTTTATAAAAATGAGTCTGAATCAAATGTCATTTTTTTTTAGAATACATACATATTTCCTGTTTAACTACTTTTACTTTCTTTATTTATGTATAATTCACATATGTCCAACTACCCATTTAAAGGGTATTAATTCAGTGATTTTTTAGTATATACACAGAATTGTGCAACCATCACCACAATCAATATCAGAACACTTTTATAACTCCAAATTCAAAATGGTTTAAAGCATAAACCATTCATGCTTTATCCATCCTCTTCCAGTCCTCCTATACCCTCTAGCCCTCAGCAGACACTAATTTACTTTCTTTCTCTATAGATGTGCCTGTTATGACTTTTACTATAAATGGAATTGTGTATTTTACATGTGGTCCTTTGTGACTGGCTTTTTCACTTGGAAGCCTGTTTCCAAGATTCGTCTGTTGTCCCATGAATATATCACCTTTTATTTAAATATACATTAGTTGAAAGACATTTCAGTCATTTTGCTTTTTGGGTATTATGAATACTGTTGCTGTAAACATTCAGTTATAAGTTTATGCGTGTACATGATTTCAGTTTTATTCGGTATACACCTATGGGTGGAATTGCTGATTTGTATGGTAACCTTCTACCCATCCAAGTATAAAGTCATAAGCTATTGTGGTTTTAGTTTGCATTTTTCTTATAGCTAATGACCTCAAGCATATTTTCATGTGCTGATTGGCCCTTTGTATATCTTATCTGGAAATAATGTTTATTTAGACCCTTTGCACATTTATTAATTAGATTATTTGTCTTTTTATTATCAAGTTTTTTATACATTCTAGTTACAAGTTCCTTATCAGATACATAATTGGGCAATTTTTTCTGCCATTCTGTGGGTTATCTTTTCATTTCCTTAATGGTGTCTTTTGAAGCATAAGAGTCTTTAATTTTGACGATGTTCAATTTATTATTTTTTTCTTTTGTTCTTGAAAATGTATAGTTGATGTATATTTAAAACATGATTAAACAAACACAATTTTAAAGTTAAATTACATATCTTCTTCAAAACTTAGACTACAGGAAAACTAAATTGAAATAAAGAAGATTGAGAAGGAATAGAATCCTTTTTGGGATTAGATCAGAGAATTTTATCCCTTTGAACATTTAGAGTTTGGTGGCAAGGGTTTTTATTTTATTGAAATTGAGTCACTATCTCTACTTTCATTTATCTGATATAATGATAATATCATGTACCAGTATGCTTATGTTATTTGAAATAAAAGTGTTTTTGTCTTGATAGATATTTCTGGATTTGAAAAGGAGGGGAATCACATAAAGGATAAAGAAGAATATTTTTGGAAAAATAACCTTTAAAAATTAACTAATCTGTACATTGTTATAATAGAACAGTAAGGTGAAATTATTTTCAAGATTCTTTATTTGGTGGTAAAGATAGGTAGAAGAGAGGAAACATTAATTCAAACTTTTCCCAAACTGGTCATTATTGGTAACATTGGTTCAGGACAATAGAATTCCTTCTGGAGATGAAATGTTGTAGGAGAAATCCAAGGAAGTGATAAAAGCTGTAGGAAGTCCATGGTAAAAGTAGAAGTGTTATAAATTGAGTTTTGTCGTATAGGTGATGCACGAGTTGGACAATCCTATTTGCTTAAGACCTTCTACCTACACAGTGAACAAGGAGCAATCCTAAAAAGCCAATGCACCAAACAGTTAAATTGTGGGAACTTCCTTCTAATGCCAAATTCCAACTTTTGTCTTAAAACCAATAATGAGTAGAAATCTTTCATCACTTTGACTCACAGATCAAAGTAATCCAGATTCTGAGACTTTGTTGCTAAATCATGTAGCATATAACCATGTCTTTTTTTAAAGAAAATATTTTCATCACCCCAAAACAAAGCCATGCACTCCTCAGCTATCCTCCTCCAGTCCTACTAAATCCGCTAGCACTGTTGAGTAAATAATACTTACTAAAAGGGAGAAAAATTGATACAGACAAATCAGACACAGGTAGCAAACATCCTCCTTCTAGGACACCAGAGAATTTCTGTAGCTCAGCAGTTGTTGACCTGGAATTCAAGAGGTTGTACAATTTGGAATGAAATGCTACTTTATTTTCACTTTTCTCTAATTGAAAGTTGGCATTTCCTTGCAGTTTGAATATAGGTAACTAATACATGCCAATATTAGAAGTATCTATGACTTTGTTTACAATGGAAATTAGAAGTATTCTTATGTCACATTGCAGTTGTTAAAAAAATTCCAAATATTTAAGCTCATCATTATTATGAAATGAAGGTGAATATTAAAACCACCACATCAAAAATTTAATCTATTAATAAGGAAGCTCATGTATTGCTATTTGCCCATTAATTTTCTAAAACTATTTTGACATAATTGGTAATAGTACATATTCTATTTGATAGAATGTTATTTTGAAACCTTTACCAGACAGAGGATTGACAACCCAACCCTCCATAGGTCCTTAAGCTTTGTACTTTAAAGTAAACTTATTTTCCTTCTTTTTGGAATGATTCCATGAAATTATTACTTCCAAATTCTTTCAGATCACTCCAAGGATACTGGCAGGCTTTCTAAACAACTGCACTACACTATGTGACAAGTTCGTTTTTGTTTACTTTAAATTTATAATCAATTATGAAATGAAGCTCTATGACATGTATTATAAAGACCCCAGAGATGAAAAAGACATAGGCACATAGGTTTTCAAAGAAGTAGGCAGATTATATAGATAATGTTCAGCAAAGAGATGGGTCAAAAGTGAGCTGAGTAGGAAACTAGGTGAACAGGCGGCTTAAATTGGAAATTCTATTATGATGGTGTGTTCTGCTATTTTGGAAGTTCATTCATAGCTGAAGCTATAGATAGGAATGCCAAGGGGCACCCTGAGTTAGTGTACCAGGCTTCCCAGCTTTCTCAGGATGTTATGATCTTGAAGAAATATATTATTTCTACAAGGTATGTTAGCTGTTACTGATTTCTTACATCTTTGTGATTTCCTTTCAGAAAACAAGAACATTTAAAAAAATTATACATAATCATATGGGGGGAGATATGACAAGGACACATAAGACTTAGGGGTTTTGGTTGATAATAAACTGAAATTAAATGGCATGACATTACAGATTAATTCAGTATGTATTTATTATTATTACAAGTATGACATCTGGAATAAGGAAGATAATTTTTTCATTCTACTCACCAGATGATACCATCAACAAATACACCATCTTTTAAAGTATTTCTTTGCAATTCTGAAAAAGTTTCAATGAAAGCAGCATGATCATTTTCTAAAGACCTTATCTAGGGGGGTTCTTCTAGCTTTGGTGGTCATTTGGTGCAGTTTCTAAGCCCTGCAACTCTGAATTATATAATTTTGTAGGTTATGCCTATATTTAGCACATGGCAACTTCTTACTGAAAAGGGAGACGAACTATGAGACAGACAAATCAGACATCGGTGACAGAATTCCTCCTTCTGGGACTCTCTGATGACCTGCTCACCCAGCACCTACTATTCTTCCTATTCCTGGGTGTGTACCTGACCACTGTGCTTGGAAACCTGCTTCTCATGACCCTTGTACACATTGACTCCCAGCTTCACACACCCATGTATTTTTTTCTCTGCAACTTGTCCTTGGCTGACCTCTGTTTCTCTACCAACATAGTTCCTCAGGCCCTAGTCCACCTGCTTTCCAGGAAGAAGGTCATTTCATTCACACGTTGTGCAGCTCAACTTCTACTCTTTCTCATTTTTGGGTGCACACAGTGTGCCCTTCTGGCAGTGATGTCCTATGATCGGTATGTAGCAATCTGTAGTCCTTTGCATTACTCTAGCATTATGACCCAGAAAGTGTGCATCCGACTGGCTGCAGGATCATGGACCAGTGGCATCCTGGTATCCGTGGTGGACACCACCTTCACACTAAGGCTACCCTACCGAGGCAGTAACAGTATTGCTCATTTTTTCTGTGAGGCTCCCGCACTACTGATCTTGGCATCCACAGACACCCGCACATCAGAGATGGTCATTTTCCTTATGGGAGTCGTGATTCTTCTCGTACCTGTTTCCCTAATTCTGGTATCCTATGGCCGCATCCTAGTGACTGTAGTCAAGATGAAGTCAGCTGTTGGGAGGCTCAAGGCATTTTCTACCTGTGGCTCCCACCTCATGGTGGTCATCCTCTTTTATGGATCAGCAATTATCACTTACATGACACCCAAGTCTTCCAGAGAGCAGGAAAAGCTGGTGTCTGTTTTCTATGCCATGGTGACCCCTATGCTTAATCCCCTCATTTACAGCCTGAGGAACAAAGATGTGAAGGGAGCTCTAAGAAAGCTAGCTACAAGGAATTTCCCATGCAGACTTGGAACTTCACTCTAACAGTGAAGTCAGAGACCCTGTTGGGTTTCTACTTGTAAGACTTGTTGGGTAGTCTTCTTTGTGAATCTAAAATATGGTAAGATTTAAAGTGATGAATGTGTGGTAATTATTTGATTTGATAAGTATATAATGCAAACATATGTTAGAACAGCACATTGTACCCCATAAATATGTACAATTATTATACATCAATTATACATAAAAATTAATAAAAAATGGTAAGATTCTCAACTTTGGGCCTTGTGCATAGATACACCCTCTACCTTTCATCCAGTATTTTCTTTGTAGGAGAAGGACAATAATTCACGGATCAGTAGGAAGGAGGATCTGCTTCCTTCTGGTTGGCCCTTTGACACATAAGGGTTAGGAGGTCACTGGAGAAACATTCCACATTTTATAAACCTTGCAAAATCTATTGTGTCAATCATACTGTACATGTCACCTATCTATCCCAGACCCTGTTCCAAGTTATTTTTTTTTTTTTTGGTATTTTTGAGTCTCTCTGCATGATTGAATAACCAATAAATGAGTGAACATTATTTATTCACTCACTAGGTAGGTGCTACCTGTGTGTATGTGTATGTGCATCTCTGTGTGTGTTTGAGGTGGGTAATGAGGAGTATGGGTACAATGAGGCAGAATAGATGAACTGTGCTGTCCTGCTCACATTCTTTTGAGATACATAGGATCGTATTTACTAGGATATGTCTTTATAAATATAGGGTTTTGGAAAATAGGAAGAAATAGTGACATATCCCAGGGTTAGCAAGAGTGAGAATCTATAATCATTCATAGGTCAGAAGGACCAAGGGAAGGGAGCTAGAATCTCAAGATGGTAGCTGTATGCAAAGGATTTTTGGACCTACATTCGACGGAGGAGAGGAAGCCATGGGAAGAAATATTTTAAGTTCTTTCTCCACACATTTTCTGATCCCCTATTATTGTATTACAATTAGAAGCCAGAGAACCAAGGAGCTTTTTAGTAAAATCCATAAAAGAGAGTAAATATTCCAAAGCACAGAGCAGGTGAAAAAGGACACAGATGGATGTTAAATAGTCAACAGAAGGTGAAGTACACCTTATTTGCCCTTCACATCCACTTATTCTTCCTTGAGTGATTAATTCACGTTTCTAATACAAAGAACACCTGAAGTTCCATTAACAGCACTATTATAGCAGTGTGATACCATGTAGGCACACTTCTACTTGATACCTGAAAGAATAGCTCCTACCAGGATTATTTATATAAGGAAGTCAGGAGGAGAAATGGTGATAAAAGCAAACAATTGGTGGGAAACAGCTACTGTAGGTCCTGATCCTGTCCCAGACCTAAATTTATAATTATCGCTTCTTTCATTACATGTTTCTAGATTTTTAATTTTCTGCCTTACCTGGTATAGTGACCTAAAATTTCTTCCCCATAGTATTTGAGTCTTCAGTGATCTCCTTTTTAGTTGATTTCTGCAGTTTCTCTTTGACTTTCTCATTGAGTTTCTCATTGTTCAAAGACTGCGATGAGACATCTCAGTGAATTCTTTTTTTTCCCCAGTTCATATCAGAAGCCTAACGTTTGCTTAGAAATAGATAGGATAACTCACGCCAGGCAATATAGTGACTTCCTTTGCCTGCCTGCTACTCACTCTGCTATAGGTGAGCAGGTTCAACTTCCAATTCATTAGGACTCTGAGCAGTAGTAGGCCAGGATGACAATGATGAAGGGATTTCTTCTTCTAACTCCAGGAACTCTAAATCAGCCAAGGCCAAAATTGCAGAGATGGGTAGCAAAAACTCCTCAATGGGTTACTTGGGCCACCTGTATTCTTTGTTTTGGCAACCTTTGCATTCTGGCAGTTTGAGAGAGTATTTCAAAATCTCTGAGGTTGTTCCCTAGCTCCATTGTAACAGAGATGTCTTCAGGCTATTCTACAATGCTATTATGTCAACTGCTTCTGGATACTGGTGAGATAAATACAATCAATGGGCTTGAGCACACTACATTTCTTTCACTATCAAGGAAGTAGAAACACTGTAAGTATTCCTGTGAATAGTAGTATTCCTACTATTTTGTCCTGTGAGGACAAAACACTGACTCCTCAATAATAAAAGGATTTATGGCTCGGTGCCCGTGGCACAGTGGTTATGGTGCCAGCCACATACACTGAGGCTGGTGGGTTCAAACCTGGCCTGGGCCAGCTAAACAACAATGACAACTGCAACAAAAAATAGCCGAGCATTGTAGCAGGTGCCTGCAGTCCCAGCTACTTGGGAGGCAGAGACAGGAGAATCACTTAGGTCCATGAATTAGAGGTTGCTGTGAGCTGTGACGCTATGGCACTCTACCGAGAACAACATAGTGAGACTCTGACTCAATAAATAAATAAATAAATAACAAAGATTCAGTGTAATCAAAATACCACTAGGAGTCAGCTCTTTATTTTGGTGAATTGTGTTGTGCTGTGACTCAGTTTTCACAAAAGTAAACAATTGTGTAACCAGTGCTATACATGATAAGGTCCCTGGCACCCACTTTCAGTTCATGTCCTCCTTTTTCCCCAGTCCCTTGTAGCCATTGATCTGTTTTCTTATTTCTGTATTAATATTCAAGTCACATTTGACTTCAGCAATTACAAGAGACTCTCACTGTGACTTGTATTCATCTTTTGTTATTGGGATATATTGAGTATTACAATTTTAATACAGTTTTTTTCTCCTTCTTAACATGTGTATACATTTTTTGGCACCTTCTATGTATGATTTGCCTTTTTAAAAATGCCACATAAACATATCCAAACAATATGGACTATTTTTGGTATGGCTTCCTTTATATAGAATAATAATTCAGAGGTACATCCATGTTGTTATATATCCATACTCCCTTCCTTTTGATTGCTGAGTAGTATTTCACTGCATGTGTATATCTCGATCTATTTATCCATTCACCAGTTAATGGGCATGTAAGTTCTATTTTTGGCTATTATGAATAATTCAATAGATTTTCATTCATTTCTTTGTATCCTGTAACTTGCTAAACTCATTTGTTAATTATAGTAGATTTTATAGTCAATTCTATTTGATTTTCTAAGTGAATGATCAGGAAAAAAATCTCATAAATTATACTTCAATAAGGCTGTGCAGTAAATGCTATTTGACCCGAAATTATCAGTGGATTATTAAAAATATGTTTACATGAAGTTATGCTGCCCCTATCCAAGGCTGCTATTTGCTGAGAGTCTGAAGTTAGACTATGTTCCCTGGACACAAATCATAAAGAGAGAAGGCTGGGTTGGTTGAATTGTATGCAGGCATGAAAAGGACAATTGATCCTATCTAATCTAAATAAGATTACAGGACAAAAAATCTAGTAAACAAAGAATCTTTGGGTTATGTACAGCAGTTTGCTATAATTTCTCCACTCCTACTGGAATGAGGAGTTTTGCACCTTTCTGCCAAGCAGCTTTCCTACCCAGGTGGATCATTTGAGATTTAGGCAGTTGTATGAGGGCTTCACACAGACTGCCACAGGAGAGAAAAACTGTTCAATTGATAGCTCTTTAAACATGTTTACTTTTTATACCACTGGAAATTTTCAGTTTCTTTTTATTATCTCTTTCTCACTAGAATGTATATTCTATGAGGCAAGAAATTTATCTGTTTTATTCGCTAGTGTGCCTTCAAGGCCTGGCCCATGCTAAGGGCTGAATAAAACTTTGTTGAAATTTTGAATTTAAACTCAAAAAATTTGTTGAAGAAAGAGAGAAAGAATTAAACAACTCTATTATTTGCATTATTACTTTTTAAAAATGACTTTGAAGAAGAAACCTTATAAATATGCAGATAAGGTTTTGGACAAATAGAAGAACATAAAGCAGAAAATTATGAAATGTAATGAATGAAGAAATTCAAGAAAGGTTAAAACAAACAAGAAATGTAGTGAAATTAGCAACCTTCAGAAGATCCTAATTTATGTAAACCAGCAGCATCCCCAGACACGTTGGTGCCATGGTCTCATTGAGTACTGAACCAGCTGCATTGGTTTCCTTCATAACTCATATTCTTTCTTTCAGAAATGGATACTAGTGAAAAGTTCAAAATCTAGGCAAGCATAGTATGTCACCTGGAAAATGGACAGAGTCAAAACTCATTGGAGAAATTGATTCTTCTTCTTCTTCTTCTTCTTCTTCTTTTTCCCTTGCATTCCAAAGTTCCATCTAAATCAGTCACAGTTTCTGAGGGCCCAGGGTCCTGTGGACCACCCGCTTCAGTGCAGCCTTCACTTCACTATTCCTCAAGCTGTAGATGATGGGGTTCAACATGGGAGTCACCACTGTGTAGGACAGCGACAGCAGCTTCTTGCTCTCAGGAGAGTTGCTAGATCGAGGTCGGAAGTACGTGAGGATGGCAGTGCTGTAGAAGAGAGAGACAACCAGGAGGTGGGAGGAGCAGGTGGAGAAGGCCTTTCGTTTTCCCTCAGCTGATGGCATCCTGAAGATGGTGGAGAGGATGCGGACATAGGACCCCAGGATCAGCAAGAAAGGGAAGAGGATGAATAGGACAGTGGCTGTCAGAGCCTCTAGTTCAAACAGAGAGGTATCAGCACAGACCAGTGCAATGACAGGAGGGCTGTCACAGAAGAAGTGGTTCACTCTATTGGGGCCACAAAAAGGGAAACTGAAAATCCATGTGGTTTGAACAGTGGCCACTGGAATCCCTGAGAACCACGAGGCAGCTGCCAGCTGGGCACAGGACTTGCGGCCCATGATGACTGGGTAGTGCAAGGGACTGCAGATGGCCACATAGCGGTCATAAGCCATAGTGGCCAGGAGGCAGCACTCAGCAGCCCCAAAGAAGAAGAAGAAGTACATCTGAGTGGCACAGCCAAAGAAGGAGATGGTTGTGTCTTGAATGATCAGGGTCCCCAGCATCTTGGGCACAATCACCAAGTTGAAACCTATCTCCAGGAAGGACAAGTTTCTGAGGAAGAAGTACATAGGACTCTGTAGTGCAGAGTCAGCTGTAGTGACCAAGATGATGAGGACATTGCCCATTAAAGTAACCAGGTAAATTATCAAAAAAAGGAGAAACAGTAAAGCCTGCAGCTCAGTGGACAGGGCAGAGAAGCTTACGAGAACAAATTCACTGACAATTGTCCAGTTTTTCCACATCATTTTTCTTCCCACGATTTCACTGCACATTTAAACTCTAGAAAGGTAAGAAAAATCTCCATCTATTATTTATACTTCCATCAACCCCCTCAAAAAGAAATAACCACCTGTAGACTCATTCTCCACCTTTCTCATTGTAGTTGTTGAGGATCAACCATCTGTACTCTCTGAAATACAGTAAAACAAATTTAACCATTGGGTTCACAATTATTTTGGAAGAATTCTATTCTTTTTCCTGAATTGAAACATAGCATATGTTTCTATACATGTCCTGATTTTTCTCTTCTCTGTAGAGGATGGTCATAGTCACAACTTCACTTTCATGACCCCACCTTCTCTCTCTTCAATGGTCAGTAGCTCTAGAACAGCCAGGCCAAGCGTCTATGAAGAGAGGTGTCTTGACTCATAATGAAAGGTAGTGAGGTCAGGCAGGGTGTGTTTTTGCAAAACAAAGGTGTTGGAAGAAGAAGAAAATGTAGGAAAGTTAACCAATCACCAAAGGAGTCTTGAGGAGAAGACGTGAATGTGTCCCAATCTCAAGAAGGCTATACTGAGCACAATTTCACTGTATTATATGAATCTCCATTTCTACACCCAGAAAATTGCAGTCTAAACAAGAAGATGCACAATGCAGGAAGTTTAGCTTATCTTGATCCCAGGGCTAAATATTCTCCCTGTAGCTGTGTATCAGGATAGCATCAGAACTATGGGTAGACGCCAGCTGCAGTAAGCATAAACTTTTCATCAGCCCTTGGTTGACTTGTGTTTTGACTCTGAAGAAATTTGAAGCACACATTTTACATGTTAATAAATTTCAACTAAAATATGCAAGTGTGACTAACAGGAAGAAATCCTATGAAAAAGACAGAAGATTTCATCATTGCATCAGTAACTAAGCTTTACAATTGAAATTCTTTCAGATACCTATAAACTTAAATTAAAGTATGAAGCTAAAACAATTAGCATGTTTTCTTGTACATAATAAACACCCAATAAGTGCTAAACATCAATTATTTTAACATAATACTAGATCTATTTTTGAAAATCTTCTTATTCAATTTATTTCCCAAATTCACTGTGGCCCCTACTATTCGATCCCTAGGACAAAATAATTTATTCAATAAATGTTGATTATCACAAGATAATTCTGTGTGTCAAGTATTGTTCTAAATACCAAGGATAATACATTAGTAAATAAACAAGCAAAAATCTCTATTTTCATATAACTCACCTTGTCATAGGAAAGACACATGATAAACAAATTATGTTATTATAATAGAATGATGTATATAAGATGGTGATTAGTGTAATGGAGAAGAATAAAGTATTGGAGGAGGAGATAAACATTTGGGGGTGCAGCATATCAGAGAAATTCTTTACTAAGAAGATGGTATCTGAGTAAAAGTCCTGAGCAGGTGTAAGAGGTGAAATTAGGGTGGTGATGGAAAGAGGTAGATAAAGATGAAAAAAGGGAGAAAATGTTATTTTAATTTTTTTGCTATTATTCATTTTTTTTAAAAGCCAACAAAAGCATTGCTTCTTCCATGAAAAGTTCTTTGCTACCTCATCTATTTTCATAGTAATAATGAACATTTATGAAGCATCAAATAAGTGTCATTTGATGTCATAAATTACATACAAGTGTATTGTATGTAATTCTCACAACAACCTAAAGATACAGATACTAATTTATAGTCAATGAATCTGAGACAGAGAGGTTGAGTATTTTTCCAAGGTAGCCAGCAAGCATTAGCATCAGGATATGTATCCTGGGTGGTCTGACTCCAAGTAATGGATATAATCGTTAGGTGACATTTTCACCTATGTTTCCAGAATGGGATAATCTGAGCCCACAGTTGAGGACAAGCCAGAGGGTCTGGTATAGGATGGTAAGAACAAAACAAAACAAGTTCTAAAGATGAGCAACAGGTATTAATAGTATTAGCAGCATTGAAGAACTGGAATACCACTTTCATAGTCCTTGTTTTAGAATAATTGTCAGTTTATGTCTCTGCCTTGTACTTTAGATGGTATGCTCCTTTAAAATAGAAATTGGGTTCTTCGAATTTTTATCACAATGCCCAAGAAAATAGATGCACAATAATGTGTTACTGAATGAATTAATAGATGAAGAAAATTTGAGAAATAATCAGGGAAAAATCTATAAAGACATGATATTGGTATAGTGAACCACATTCATAAGGAATATAGCCATACACAACTATAATTAACATGAATTTAAAGAGTAATAAGAGATATAAATTGTACTCATCATCTTCCTGTACCTCAAACCTTCTCCTTGCATTTTATTTCAGCAAATGACACTGTCCCAAAGTACAAGCCAGGAACTGAAATATAATTTTTTAATACATCCCACAGGCTTGATTATTTTTCCTCCGAAACACTGACTGAGTGTTACTGCCTTTAGGTTCTGGCTTTCATTTCATTTGGCCTGGAGTATTGTAGAAACTTGTTTTCAGATCATTCTCTTTTAACCATCCTCATCTTGTATGTGATCTGACAGCAACACTGATTAAGGCAGTTGTTGTCTTGCAATCATTCCCTACTACCTTTGGAATAAAGTACAAACTCTTTAACTACATATTTTTTCTCTTATCTATGCTTATTTTTGCCGCTTCAAATCCCCCATGCAGCTGATGCTCTAGTCACAACAAAATATTTTCTATTCCTTGTACACATTATGTCCTCCTTTCACCCCACCCTCCTTGCATTTGTACATTCAGCTCTCTTCTCTTAGAAAACTCTTCCCACGATTACTGCAACTTTCTGCTCATCTCTGCAAGTCTCAGCTGAAACATTCTTTGTGAAGTTTTCTCTGACCCAGATTGGCAGAATCAAGGAATTACTCTCATAACAGCTTGAGCAAACCTCCATTAGAGCGCTTTTATAATTGTGTACATGTACATCTTTTTATGTTATTGTAACTTAATATTAACACTATGACAAATAGGTTCTTTGAGTATTATACCTTTTATGCCTAGCAGAGTGCTTAAATCCAAGTGCTCAGTAATTGATGTCGCCTAAGGCTTGATTATTTTTACAGTAGGTTGATAATGTTATTGTAGCTGAGTCTACAGTCCAGTCTCTGAGTGTTTTTTTTTTTTTTGTATAGGTGTTATATTAGATTATCTTCCAAGATATATTTATTTTGTTTAACTTTTTTGCTATGTTCTGATAAAATATTTTAAAGCTTTACTCTATTAGAATAGCTTTGTATCACTCAGAATGCCATAGCCTCAAATATTTAATCAAAATATTTCCTGAGACAGAGTCAAGTATCTGAGCCATATCACTTAAGCCATATCCTAAAGTGGACCGATACCAAATTTTAATCTATAATTTTTCAAAATATTCTATGCAAAACATTCTATGTTTTTAATAAGTGACTTTAAATCATTTCAGACACTGGTTGGGTATAAAAAAACAAACACAGTTTTAGGTTAGGAGTTTATCAAATGTCTTAATGAAATGCAGATAAACCGTATTAACATTCATTCTTTAATCTGAGATGTAAAGTCATCTTCCCTGTAAAGCCTTTTTTGACCATTTCCATCCTGCAACTGGATGTTAATGAATATTCTTTCCTTGTGTAATTATTTTTTACATATATATCCCCTCTTGCAATTTATATAATCTTTGGAGACACAAACAAAATCATATCCATCATTGTACCCATATTACATTGCCTGGTACCTACTAAGTAAGGATAAATGTTTGTTGAATTACTAAATAACATTTATTTTAATGGCATTAGTTAATTATCCTAGCATACTAATGTTTATCTTAGAAAGTTAATGAGGTGCTTTGTCATGAAATTCTTAGTGAATCCATGAAGCGTTAATCATGGTTTTTCTTTTTAATTTTTTGTGAATGAAATCCTTTTAATAATGTTTTAAATTATTGCCTGGTAAGAGAGATAAAAATAAATGCACAATTATGGAACAGTATACAAATTTTAAGACTTGTTGTATAATTATTATTGATATTACTACAAATTCCTATACTTTCAAAAAGACTATAAATCTCACCTTTTGGTAAAGCATGGCTAGATAGGTAGAAAATAATCCAATGAGATGTAGCCAAGACCGATGACATTTGAAACCAGAGTAAAAGTGCCTCACAGCACAGTTTGAGAGTTTCCTAAGGACACATAACCAGATGATGTGGTTGGCCACTGGCGAATCTGTGACAAAGGGCTGGAAGGAAAAGGTCCTCAGGTCAAGAAATCAGAAGTTACCAGAGTATTGTTACATGTTTAGTTAGTGAAGCCAAGGAAAATTTCAGATGCCTAATAATAGTTTCCTTAACATTTAAGGCAGGGATGCCGCCCCCTCTTTTGTTTCAGACCAAATTTTGCAGGGAATTGCAACACTTAAATCATGAGGTTGAACAAGGGCAGGGCTTGGTGCTCTACCTGTTTGGCTTTCACTTTTCTCCTGTCCCCTAAAATGGTCCCCTCTTGCATCTCCAGGCTGAGAGAAACAATATGAAAACCTGACTTATGGCGGCGCCTGTAGCTCATGATAGGGTGCCGGCCATATACCCTGAGGCTGGTGGGTTTGAACCTGGCCAGGACTGCTAAACGACAATGACAACTGCAATAAAAAAAACAGCTGGGATTGTGGTGGGTGCCTGTAGTCCCAGCTGCTTGGGAGGCTGAGGCAAGAGAATTGCTTAAGCCCAAGAGTTGGAGGTCACTGTGAGCTGTGATGCCATGGCACTCTACTTAGGGCCACAGCTTGAGACTCTGTCTCAAGAAAAAAAATTAAAATTAAAATTAAAATTAAAAAAAAAGAAAAGAAAACCTGACTTAGAACTTTGCATCTGCCCCCATCTCATAGCATGTAATCCTGCATTTTCCTTCATTTCTCTTGATCTCTTTCTAACCTTCTCCTTTATATATCCTTCTTTCGATCGATTTCTATCTATTGATTTATCCTTTCTTCTCTTTCTCTTTCATGTCTTTCATCTTTCTCTTCTGCATTTAATTTTTATGTT